CATATTGAATCATGAGAAGTTCTACAGAATTACTTATTTGTGGCTGGTGATTTCTGGAAAGAAAATTGCAGAAGAAACTGCTATGAGATTTACACTAATCTTTTTTCAATTGAAAAAGAAAAAAAGACAAAATACTTCAAGAAAGAGGACTTCAGTGTTATGGAAATATTGTTTGCTCTAATGTTGTGTGTGCACACATCTATATAATTTTGGCTCTTTTGTGGGCGAGATATTCAGGAATTGGCTTCCTGGTGACACAGGTCCTTCAAAGTACTATCTATGATGTTGACCTTGATCGTATCTTGCAAAGCATCCATTTATATCTGCAAAATCTGGGGATGGAAGAAATTAGAAGAAGGTATCCATTGTATTTGGTATATGCCCCCTACTCCCAAAAGAGTGCAATGTCTTTTATCTGTTTCATTAAATTTCATTTCTGTGCCTCTTCTCCTTCCTCATTAAAGAGCCGGAGCTGATGATAAACCTCTGCGAATGGTAAAAACTGTTCTACATGAACTTGTAAAGCTTCGTGGTGCTGCAATAAAGGGTCATCTCTCTATGGTTCCTATTGATATGAAACCTCAGCCAATTATTCTTGCCTACATTGATCTTAATCTCGAGGTAGAATAATTTATATGGTCAATTCTATCATTATTATACTCTCATTTTGCTACTGAGAAACACTGATAGCTTTTGATGTCTCTACATCTTGGCAGACTTTAGCAGCAGCGAGAATGTTGACCTCAACTGGGCCTGTTGGCCAGACTCATTGGGGTGACTCAACGGCAAATAATTCTGCTTCTGGCACACAGTCTGCTGATGCACAGTTGAAGGTATTGAGCCCGAGGATATTTTTTATACTTTTCTTATTTTTCTTTTAAGTTATCATCAGCTATGTTTATATTACTACATTTATTGTTATTATTTTTATTTTTAAAAGAAACAGGAGATATATATATTTTTTTCCTTTATACTCGTGTGTCTTAGACCAATCATATTATTTTGATTTTGTGCATTTTTCCTGCAGCAAGAGCTTGCTGCTATATTCAAAAAAATTGGGGACAAGCAGACATGCACCATTGGATTATATGAGTTATATAGAATAACTCAACTTTACCCAAAGGTAATGGACTTCTATTTTTACGTTATTATTGTTATTATAATGTGTGTGTGTACATTGAAAGAGATGTAAGATTTTCATTCAGAGGAAATGCCACAATAAAAGGCTCTATAAACCAGCCTAAGAACATTAATCGGACTCCAATTACAGTTGAGTGGCCCCTTCAAGAAAAATGAAAATCGGATTGGGCTTTCTCCATAGGATGGCATTAACTTCCTTTTTTATTTCTCAAATATAAAAATGAAAAGCCTCTGCCGATCTCTTTGTTACTGACCATCATCATGTTCTGCTTTTCTCAGGTTGATATATTTGCTCAGCTTCAAAATGCAAGTGAGGCATTTCGCACATACATTAGAGATGGTTTGGCCCAGGTATGTGCCATTGCCTCTGCCCGCTGATAACTACTGAGATATTGGAATTATCACATTAACAGAATAATCGAGGATTTGAAGAGACTTATTTACAATTTTCTCCAGTTTCATCCATGGCCAATGTCTCAGTTGATTCTTAGATTTATTGTGGATGGCATGAGAAATTTATTGTATATCCATGTCTATCTCATACGAATCAGTTGGATGTTCCTCATTATTGCAGCCAAACTACCTTTTTATAATATAATTTCATTGCAGATGGAGAGGAATGCAGCAGCCGGAAGGACACCTTCAAGTTTGCCATTGTCAACTCCTCCTCCGGCTTCCATGAATTCTTCACCTGACTTTGCACCTTTGTCTCCTGTACATACCAACTCTTTAACTGAAGCAAAATCACTGAACGTGAAACCTGAACCGACTAACTTTACTTTGCCACCGTCATATACGGAAGACAATAGGATTGTTACTTCAAGAGGTCCCACACCTGATTATTCACTTGGAGATCAGAGGAATGACAAATATATTAGCGGAGGTAAGATGTTACTGTTGTTGAGTTGAGCTTATGCCTTTTTCACTGTATTTTCTTATGGAACTGAAAATGGAAAATTTCATGCATTCAGTAACGAGTGGGACACTTGATGCAATTAGAGAGAGGATGAAAACTATGCAATTAGCTGCGGCTGCTGGAAACCATGAATCGGGAAGCAAGCCGTTAATGTCTGTGAACGACAATTTACACCAAGGAATGGTTGCTCAAATCTCTCAAGCATCAGAGCACCTCGGTGTTGAGAATTCCGCTCAAAGCGGGGTCCTTCCCATGGACGAGAAGGCATTATCTGGACTTCAAGCAAGGATGGAAAGACTTAAAAGTGGGACTATTGAACCCCTGTGAAGCAGGGATATGTGATAGGAGAGCTACCATGATTTCGAGTCCTAACACGAGATGTTATCGTGTACGATAGGAGAGCAAAAATGTGGATGCCGGTATTAGAGATTAGTGTATCTTTTATTGGTTGCTGGTGCCTTATTTTTTTAGAGCGCAAGTTTGTTGAGATTTGAGGGTGTCGTCGGGTCGTTAAAAGTCGCCAGCATATTTGTGTTTTGAAGAATTGCTATTAAACCAATGGCAGTCATTTACATTAAAATATATATTTGGAATCACATCAAATTACCTCACCGTAAAAGTTCTTGTTTACACTGAACGAGAAGGAAATTTTACTCCAAGCGTCTGTTCTAACTCATTTATTGCTGAATTTATGAGTAATTCTAAAAATAAATTTGATATTTACTACTAAAGTAGTGTTTCGTAGAGTAGTATCATTCATGGTGTTTGGTCATTCATTTTAATGGATTTTGTCAACATAATGGTTTGATAGGTTCCATACAGAACAGTAGAAATTTGTAATGGATATTTTTTTTATTATTATATAAATAAATGTTTTCTTTTCCTAATTGAATAACAGATAATCTACGTTGATGAATTTATAATAAGTATCAAACGTTATTGTTCTTGAAGTAATCAAGTTAAATTAATTATATCGAATTAATTTTCATGATAATTGTAGTAATGTGTCCAAGTGCTACGACTATATATATATATATATATATATATATATATATATATATATATATATAATATTATGTTAAAAGAATGCTTTATTGGTAAATGCTAAAACTAATTATCAATTGAGGATAAACATTTTTGTACATGATGTAATATTAAAATTAGATATGAGTGTATGACATCTTTGGTGTGTTGAGAAATGGTCTAAATTAGAATTTCAAATATTTCTTAGGCCTTGAACATTACATGGAAAAAAAAAAACTACTTTAGTTATTATTATAAATTTTTATTAGTAAATTAACAAAAATCTAAAGACATTTTTGAAAACTTAACGCCTACAACAACATGGAACTTCATTAGAACTTCAAACGCTCACAAAAATATTTATTGCTCACAAAGATATATTCGTGTTAATTTTGTTCAATAATTTATTAAAGAATTAATACTAATGACTAGACTAGATTTTGTATGCAAGTCAAAATAGAATAAACGGAAAAGTTCAAGAACTATAATACAATTTAGACGAAAAATGTGAAAAAAGTAGACTTTTGCTTTAGGTCCTTCAAGTTTGAATTAGATTTAATTTTTACCTTTGCAGTTCTGGAAAATCTTGGCTTAGGCCCCCCCACCATTCTTTTTAAGCATAAAGTTGATTGGATTTTATTTTATTGATTTTAAAGCTGATATGACATTAATTTATTCTCTTATTAATTTTAAATCTCGATTTCGGTCCTTCCCATCTCTTTCATAGTTGTTGGTTGTTTTGGAGGCTATTTATTAAATGATAGACTATAAAGTATCAAGGAAGAATTAGCTCTATCTAATACCTATTCCTAAAGTATTGAATGAAGTATCAAAATTATACAGAACTCATAAGCATACACCTCTCAGAATTGAGTGGGCTCAGATCTTTTTAATACTTATAAATCATTACTGAAAATTCAAAGTACGTTACTGCTAAACTCAACTTTTCTTAAAACTTAATATTATTTTTTTTTCTAAAATATGGTACTATGAGAAGTTGGTCTTTCTGAACAAGATGTACATAACAAAAAACTTTTGGATACAAGATCAAGCCGTTCACATGAAGGAAGATATGAACGAAGATGAAACTTTTGACTTATATATTGGCGAAGGAAGGTGTAGTGATTGGATTAAAATTGTCCAAGAACAAAAAAAATGTTCCACTGGAAATAATTGTGCAACATTTCAGGTCAAAATGGGAGTGGAGAGAAGCGACCAAATATTCTCCAAAAAAAGTTGTTTTGTCGGCGAGTGAAGGCCGAAGAAAAAGCAAAATTCGTGTCAACCAATTCTAATAGTAACATCAGGAAGCTTCCCCATTGCTTTTATTTCTGTATTAATTGAATGTACAATATCTCTCAAACAGATGCAGCCCCCTCCTTTCAATTCCATTTCATTAATCCACAAAATACACCAATTTATCAACATTCTCAAATTCATATTAGATTTGATAAAACATAAATCAATTTAGTTTCACACTAAATTTGAATCAAGTGTCCCTTTTGAACTATTTTTTAAACCCAGTGCTTTTTAAAACCTTAGGGTTAAATGGACACAAAATTCGAACTTGAATACTCCCCCTTATTCACTTTGATCAGGTAGTTTATAGATAGTTTCTAATTAATTCCAAAGATGTATTAATCACCACTAACTTAAGTAGTTTAAGAGTTAATTGGATGGATTTGAAAGTTTAAAACTAAAATGATTGCACTAAACTAAACAGAGGTAAAAAAATGAACTTTTTTTCAAAGTAAAAGGAAAGCAAGAAGAAGCAATTAATAGTGTTTTCATTAAATAACTACCATCAATTACAAATTTGGGTCTTTTTTTTTCCCTCTAGTGTGTTGAGGACCCCATGTCCTGCAGTGTTTAGGAACATCAAAAATCATCACACTTTGATCTTTGAACACAATACAAGAAAAGGTTAATACCAAATTTTTGCAATGGGATATTATATTATACATGTAAAATTACACAAAACTCCAAGCTCTCTCTCTCTGTGTCTCACCTCTACTGTAAAATCACACTCTTTAGTCTTCCCACTTTGAGAAAAAATAAATAAATGAAAATCTCTCTGTTTACTATACAATTGGGCATTTGCAGAGCCCTCATACTGGCAAATGTTATACTAGTAAATTAATCAACAGCCACACCCAAAAAGATTTAAGAGAAAAAAAAAAGCTGGTGGCAGTTTTCGCAACACAACAGCAGCTCAGCTCAGACTCGGACGTTCCCATTTCATCGCGAGCGGCAGCAGAAGAAGCAGCATAATACATGAAATTATCTTCCTTTTATAGAATCTAAACTAACCTCCAAATTTCTGAGAATGATTAGCACTTAGCAGGAGGAAATGGTGGAGAGTGTGGTGGCAGAAGCCGAGGATGTTCTTGGCGATGGAAATGCCTGCTTCAATAGTACTGTGGGGAGGATGCTGCTTTTTCTCCTCTCTTGTTCTTTGATCACCTCTCCCGCAAACTCCTCCAATTTCTCCATGTTTGTCTTCTCAATCATCCTCTTCCCTTTGAACAAAGCAGCTTCTATGTTCTTCTGCCTCAACATTTCCCCTGCTTTCTCCAAGATGTTGCTGCTTTTTGGGCCTCTTTTTGCCTTCTCCAAGTTGCTCTTTGCCACAATGCCATTCCCCTGAGAGACAGCACATAACAAAATGCCATTCAGCAACCAAATCCTTAAGAGTTATGTTTTGTTCTTGTAATTTCTCGGTGAAGAAGAGTTGAATACCTGAATACGGATATAATTGCTTGTCCTGTGCGGACCAAATGCCATAGAAACCGCTTGATCAACCTGTAGAATAAAAGCACAATAATTAGCCCACCAACCCATTAAATGAAGCAGCCCCATTTCTCTCTCTGCGTTTTTTATGCTAACAGATTAAGATTCTCTTGTTCGGTTGTTACCGATATTTTATTTTGAAAGTCTATATGGTCACTGTAATTGTGCAATATTTAAAAATGGGGTTGTTGGAGGAAGCTGATTTGTCATGCAATAAAGCTGTCCAAATACGGCCCTAAATTAAATGCCGAATCTCTTTACTCTTCTCTTCCTTCAACCGACAAATCCATCCATATCAATTCAACAGTAAAATTTGTACTTCTGATTTACTAATTCTATGCTTTTAGTTTTACCTCTTTTTTGGCTTTCGGTTAATTAATTCACTGGGTTTTAACTAAGTGTTGCTATGGAAGATCAAGATTTGGAAATTTACCACGTCGGAAGCGCCCTCTCCGGCGATCCTTGTGAAAGCGGCCGGCGACGAATTGAGGTTCACGGCGCCGAAATCTGACTCTCCGTTTCCGAGGGAGACTACGAGGAGATCTTCCACGGTATTGCAGAACGGGAATTCTTGCTTGTTGTTCAGGACGTGCGTAATCGCGGCGGCCGTCGGGTTGTTCATGGCTATGCCGCCGTCGACGGCAGTGATCTTGGTCCGCTTGTCCACTGACCGCATTTCGACGGCTCCTGACACCGTCGGTTCCGCAGACGTCGCAACGCAAACGTCGCGAATCTTGAAATCGTAACCGTCCATTTCGTGAGCGTCGGCGCGAGAAAACAGGAACGGCGCTTTAGTGGAGAGGTCATAGCACGGAATCAAAACCGACTTCAACGTGTCCTTCAACGTCCACTCTCCAAACGTTTTCCGGAAAAGCTTCTCCACCTTCGCCGGCCGGAACACTCGCCGGAAGATTCCTCCATCGGAAGACCGGAAAATTTCTCGACGGTTCTTAAGCAGAAAATTCAAAGCTCCATCCGCCGTAAACAGAGGACAACCGTCTTTCCCCCTAGTAAACAGCAACGCCGCGAGAATGCCTCCAGCACCAGAACCGGCAACCACATCAAAATAGTCGGCAATGCGCGCATCAGGCTTCCCCGACTTCCGACGAAGGAAATCCTCAAGACACGCCAGCGACTTGGCAGCAAGAATCCCGTCGGTGGAACCTCCACCGTCAATACTCAGAATCCTGACCTTCCCGGTGTTCTGCTTACCAGATTTCAAGGCATTGCCATCGTGGACCGCCGGAGCCTGAGCGGCGACATGAAGCTTGGGATCGGAATCATCGCAGCCGAAGAGAAATTTATTCTCGAGAATGGAGAAGATCTCGTAGGTAAGCTTGTCGACATCGAAGCTCACGGACTCGATATCGTTAACCTGAGGAAACGAGGAAACGGCCGCCATTTTGGAGAAATCGAAGAAGAAAATTAAACAGTAAATCGGTTGATTGAGACGAAAAGAAGTTGCAGAGAAATTGAAGAAATGGAGAAGAAGGAGATGAAGAAGAGGGAAGTGGCGGGGGAGTTTATATAGCAAAGTTTAGAGAGTGAAGAGGAAAGTCGTACGTGCGGCACTGACTTTGGGCATGCGCGCGTGCGTTCTATTCATCTTCCCTTTATTTTCTTTTTTAATTTTTTAAAAAAATTATTATCATGGTCATGGAGGAACATTCCTTGAATTTGATACACAATTAAATAAACTTATTGTTATTATTATTTTCCAGCAATGTTTTGAATTAAAAATGAAATTCCTCTGGTGCGTGTTTGGCGGAGAAATTAAATTTTAATCTGATGTGTCTGTTAGGAGGGTGGCCACGTAATAACTAAAATAAATATAATTAATCGGCTTCTTCTCTATTTCAGTTATTAATTAAAAAGAATTTCCCTCCAAAACAAAACAAATTAACTTCCCCAAACAGTCCGTTCAAAACAAAAGGAAGCCCTCCACTTGATTACAAAATAAAGGGGACACTCTTTGCCTTTTGTTTTTGGCAATTTGCTACCTTTTTTTACCACCAACACAAAGCAAAATTTAAATTCCATGGCTGTTTGAAGCTACTTTTTTTTTTTTTAATAAATATTTTTGAAAAAAATAACTTATTTCCTTACAACGCCGTCAACTTAATTACCGTGTGATCTTTAAATAGTACAGACGTCAATGTATGTGTAAGTTTTGAATTCACAGACTTGGTAATATAGTTTTATTTGACACCAAAGTAAAAATTAACTGTAATATACTAGCGCTAACACACATCTGGCGGCCAATCTTAAGTGACAGATATTTTCCTCCAAGTATTTTACCTAGACCAGTCTTCCATCATTTTGATGTGCAAACTGTTGTCTCCTATGCGTCCTCTAGAGCGTAATGTCAGTTATACGAATGATTTTTTGTTAGAAAATATGTGATTTATCTTTTCTTTTTCATTATCGGGCAATGGTTCAAAATCCTTCCTTAAGTTTACAAGTACATGCACTAGGGATAGACACAACTATAAAATTTTCCCAACTAAATCTATTGTTTAACCTTCGACTTGCATATATATATATATATATATATAAGAATCATATTCGTAACACGTGAAACATAATTTGAATACGATGCATCGTATTTGGTTGAAAATTAAAAGGTCATTCTCAGTTATATGGTTCTACATGGCTAAGTATAGGGATATAGATTGGTCCCGAAAATGATAGAATTAGTGAATATTAAAGAGTAGAGAGAGAGAGAGAGAGAGAGTAATGTGATAAAAGTGAAAAATGGAATGGGTACGGGTGTACTAAATGTGAGAGGTATGTGCACCGTCAAAATGGGAAGATCAAAATAATTCATATAATATAATATTTCGTATCATATCATAAATGAAAAATGTACTCGAGGAAAGAGCATCTAAGATCCTATTTGGTCCCCACCCCTGACCCCTTAAATATCTCTCTTCTCAATTCTACCTTTTCCCCATCCCCATCCTATTTACTCAAGGGTATTTCAGCCAATATAAATTTAGTTTAAATCTCTGTCTATAAATATGAGTTCAAATTTCTGCATTCGTATTTGTGATTTCATGTAGTTTAAGAAAATAATAAGAGAATAGAGAGAGTATTTTGAGTATAAGACCCCAGTTCAAGATTGATTATTCAATAAGAGAAGAGGATAGATATATAAGTAGGAGTAATATTTTTATCGATATATATGGTCTTTTGGGTGAAAGTAAAAGTAAAGCCACGAACACATGTGTCCAAAATAGACAATATTATATCGTTGGAAATGTGGAGAGTTTGGTGTCCCTAAAAATAATATAAAAAAGTGTCTGCACAACTACAATTCATTTGCATAATCTAAATACAGATTTCATAAATCCAAGCTTTTGGCAAACATCTCTTCAAAGCATCTGACTAATCTAGTATTTTGCTCATGAGTTTGAAATTTTGCGGTCGGAATCATTAAGAAATTTGAGCTTGTGTAACTAATCATAATTAAAATCGGATTAAATTACAACCCAAAAATTTAAGTTAATGGATTAAAGATAAATCTAATTATTTATAGAGATTCATAACTTCTACTACCATTTTAAACATGATTAAATTACCGATGAACCCAAAAACTTAAGTTGATAGGTTATAATAAATTTAATTATTTACATGATATCTAAGAATTAACTTGGCCATAGGATTACACAAATCAGTGCGTAACTCAAAAGGTAAATTTTAAAAATCAACCTAAATTTTTGTTTCAACTAAAACATTTATAACTTTAGGATAAACAAACTCATATATTAGTCTTATCTAGAACACATTTTAATATATACCTTCATTTTCTTTTCTCGTGAATTTTGTTGAAGAGACGTTAGAAAATATATATATATATATATAGCTATAGTTAATTTGGACGTCATATTCAGAAATATTGTTGGAGATGTGTTTTTAGTTTGGCCAAAAAACATTTATATATGGCAAAAAGAAAAATAGTGATATATTTTAGGTTGAAATACTACTTTCATTTTTGTCCGTTCAAAATATCTATTTTAACCTATGATTTTTTTTAACTTTTGTCAATTTAAATATACGTAGTATTTTTGAGACATTCCTTTTTGTTCTTATACTTTTAAAAGATGATAGTTTTGATCTCTTCATTTCATTTTTTATCTCATAATTTTTTCAATTATAATTTTAGCACGATAGGATACTCATATTTTCTCAAAAATATAGAATTTGTGTTGAGGTTTTGCAAACTGTTATCAAAATGATCTCTTTCAAAAGTATTAACATTTTGAAAGTACATAAATTAAAACGAACAAAAATTAAAAACAAAAATAAAAAATAAAAAACTGAAATCAATATTTGAAAATAGAAGAGATCAAAATAAAGAAAATAAGAATTTAACCTAAATTTTATTATTTGGTTACTGTAAACTAAAACTATAAATGAATGCATGTTTGTAATTTTGCAAGTGTACGGAACGATAGGCTCTGACTTCTTCTGACATGTATATTAAAAACTGGCATTTTTTTGGTTTGACTAAAATTCTGGAGATATATAAATCTTTTTTATTGAAGATAGAAAAAAAAAATGGAAAATAAAAATAAAGAGTTACAGTTGTACAGAGCCCGTACCCGACGACATGTACCTACTGGCTTAGCTGTGTCAGAGAAAGCTATACGGCTCACTCGATA